GGTAAGGGAAGGGACCCTGTGCTCACTGGTGCCTCAGATGAAATGATTCATCTCGCCTCTCGAGCAGATTTATTTCCAGAGGGCGGTTTCTTTACCATGGAGCAGACATGGATTTGTTTTTCCTTTCAAAAAATATCCTTTGGCTTTTAAAGCATGCATCTTAGTGTTTCCATTGGCAGAGAGCTGAAGTGTGACAGCGTCAGAGGATAAAATAGGACATTATTTTTGCAGTTTTGAATTATAGAGGCTGTGGTGATTGTTAAAAATGGAGGGGGAGGGGGCAACTGGAAGCATGTTTACGAAGTGCTGAACATTTCCCCAGTCAGAGCTCTCCATGGTCTGGGCACTCTGGCAACCAGTGTGTTCAACAGGGACACGAGTTTAGCTGTCACAGGGACGATTCACTGAATTCGGTCTGTGACCAGTTTCTCCTGAGAAGAATGAAGGGTGTGTGAGTTGAGCCAGATATTGTAGGCAAGACACACTGGTGCGTGAGAATGTCACTTCAGCCTGAAAAGTGGTACCTGATGCAATGCTTGAAGAGTTCAGAAAATAAGAAGCTTTGGAAATGGTTCGTATCAAATTTGGAAAAGAAACGTTTGGAAATGTCACCTTAGAGTGGGCCAAACGAGGGACTGGACGATCAGGGAATTGCGCTTTTGTCCCACTTCTATCACGGATGGCAAGGCGACAGGAGGCAGGAGGCAAGCCCTCAGTCTCCTCTGTGAAATCAGAGGAGCATTTTCCAAAGAGTTTTTTAGCGGGGGTATTATTTTCCCTCCAAACAACAGCTTACAGGTAAGGCTAATATGTAAAATAGCTGCAGACAGAACAATTCCCTTGGAAACTGCAGGAGGGGGGCTGGGGCCATGGTCAGCCCCACGTGGGCCCTGCGCTCCCCCAGAGCCCTCCCCTGACCACCAGGAAGCAGCACAAGAAGTCCGTGGGAACGTTTTGGAGAGACGGTAGCTGGAGTCTCTTGAATTATAGCTTTGTATGACTGAACATGGAAATCTGTCTTGCTTGATAGGACATCAGCAGGAGCAAGGAGGAATTAAAAGAAGGATGGAGAAGGACCTACTGTAGACTTTATTTGAAAAAACAAAATCTCCTGAGCTATTTGAAAAAAAAAAGTGTATGATGTTTATTTGAAAAAAAAATAGTGTGGGTTATTTTAATATAACCTCTGATGGAAATTAGCTTCCAGCTCAAAGTGGATTTGGAAAGCGCCACCTTGCATCTCGTTTTTTGAGGCGCCTCTTTCTGCGAGCGCACAGCAGTTTCTAATTTGCAAGACAGGCGCACGCCTGTCACCTCACCCCCGACTGTCTGAATGACCTCCCGGACTCACGCTGTCCTGGCGATGGCAGTGCCGTGAGGAGCCCGGACTCACGCTGTCCTGGCGATGGCAGTGCCGTGAGGAGCCCGCACACCCTTCAGAGGTTTCCTTTTCATGAAGAAAGGGCAGAGGGGTTTAGCTGCCCGAAGAGTGAGGTCATTTTGCTTGCATCCTGATAAAAGAGGAACATGAGGTTCTGACGGTGGCGACCTTGAACCTCAGGAACAGCTTGGTCTCACGTATACAATACAACTTGCAAATGTACAGACTTCCTCTTAGGGCCGAGACCCAGGCCTCCACGACTGATTTAGGTAACACAGACGGAATGGTCTGAACCTCATTCTCATTTTCTCTTGAAATGGAGGCTGTGGGGGCAACAGGAGGTGGAGAGAGACTGACATGGGGAAGGAAGTAGCTTTTCGACAGGGGCAGAGGACTGATCCGCTTCATTAGCCATTGTGAACGCAACCCAAACTTTTTAGATTTGTGAAAAAAAACTGTGGAAATAGTAGTTATGTACTTACTCTCTGTACCACCCCCCCAAAAATAAAGCATAGTGATAATTTTATGAAGAAAGGGGTAAATTTAACTAGGAGAGGAGCTGAGGATGACATTTGAATGAGAAACGCAAACTTGAGGGAAATGCTGTATTGTTTAAAAAAACCCTTAACGTGTGAAGCTAGATGGAAGTCTTCGTATTTATTACTAGATACAGAAATATATTTTCTAGCACTCTTATTTCCTAAAAAGGAGGTAAAATCTACATGACAACTGCTGCTATTTACAAATGACAGTTACTCATATTTTGATTTCTAACTTTTTCTGGTCCCTAAATTACATTTTTTTAGTGTTTCTTTTTGTTCTGCTCCTTTGACCTAGCCTGGAAAATTTGAAGAACATTTCTTTCTTTTTTTTTCCCCCCTCACTCTAATAAGCCTTTACAAGTTTTTTCCCCCCTACACTCAAAGTACAAAAATAATATTTTTAAAATGCATGTGTAAAGGACATTTCATCTGCAGTGAGATAACATCCATTGTTCGAGACAGTTTAACTTTCATTTTTTCATCAGTTTACAGTAGGAATTACCTCTCACATATTATGTATAGAAGACCTGCAAGTTTATAGATTGTGCATTTTATAGCCTAACTCAGGCATCCATGACTCACTGCTAACACACGCAGTTCTCGACAATGATACACCAGAACTAACTGAACGCCCATCTAACGCACCCTGAGTTTGGGGTCCAAACACGTATCATCTCAGAGGCATGCATTAATTTAATGCAGTTTCCAAAAGCTGTTCTAGATCCACAGCCTGTGTTCTGTGACAATCTAATAATGCTCGTGAGCTCATGGGAAATATTTTGTTATTTAACGTTCGCGTTTAATATTAATAAAAGCAAGTCTTGCTAAATACCTGTTTGACAGCAAATGAACCTTCAGTACTCTATCTGCTTTGATGTTTTAATCCTGAAACAATTCAGAATTAAAGGTGGCAGGTAAATAAAACCACATACAGGTCACTGGAATGTGGCGTGATGCAAATGAGAAATAGAAGTATAATTCTCAGCACTGAGTATCGATGTATTTGCGATGACTTATACAGAATTTAAATAAAAATGGCTTTCCGTTCCAACACATTTTTTGTATTACAACCACGAGCTAATATTAAACATACATTATTTCAAACCAGCTCCTCTTTAAAGAGATTCTATTCTTCCAATATGAAATGTTTAATAGCCCAGTGAGCTCTTATTAAATGCATACTTAAATGTGTCAGGTCTCTCAGCTCATATGTGTTTTATTTAATGTTCACAGAAACCTTATGAGGCAGGGATTCTATTGCTGTCATGTGACAGATGAGGAAGCTGAGGACATCTTGTAAGTCCTCAGATGGCCAAGCAGACAGTTACGGAGGAGGAGGAGATTTGAACCCAGGCAGTTCCACTTTAGACCCGCCCTGTTCCATGACGTCTCATGTGCACCATGCGGTAATCCACGGTATTTCATGGGTCAAGCCCAGAGCTCCATAATCACTTTAGGAGTGATTCAGAAGAAAAACCTGCATGATTTTTACTGAAATATGTCCCTCCTTTAGAACTCTTATTTCTTCCATCTGAAATAGTTCAGTCTTAAGAATGAAAGAAAAGAAATTATATACTTTCCCCAAACAAAGTATCATCATATGGGAAGCACTTTTGGTATTTACAGAAACTGCTTTAAATCTTGCAACTGCTGTTTTTTCTGGAAATCAAGTTTTCCAGATGCTCAGAGTTTGTTCAACACCAAGTTCACCACTGTACTGTGACACATTTCATCTTCTATTTTGGCCACAAGGACAGAACATCTTGCCACCATATCATAACAATAAACTTAATGGACGTCGGGAACTTGTAGAGATCATACAAGTATTTGAGGCTTTCTTTAGGGTTTTGAAATAGGTTGGGGAGATCAAGAAAACCACTGCTAACCCAGAAGATCCACTTGTGAATTGGGTCTTAAAGGATTCCAAAACTTAGGGTTGTATGAAAAATTCCAGTAATCTGACATCCCCTTGAGAAATCTCATCTGCATATACCTTCGGGCTCTGGGTCTTACTGCTTTTATTTCTTTCTTTTTAATTGATTGATTTTAGGTGGGGTAGGGGGGTGGGGAGGGAGGGAGGGAGAGAGAGAGGGAGAGAGGGAGAAAGAGAGAGAGAGAGAGAGAGAGAGAGAGAGAGAGAGAGACTGATTTGTGGTTCCACTTATTTATTCATTCCTTGTTTGATCCTTGTATGTGCCCTGACCAGAGATTGAACCTGAAGCCTTGGAGTATCAGGGTGATGCTCTAACCAACCTAGCTACCTGGCCAGGGTATTTATTGCTTTTTTTTTTTTATCTGAAAGCACTTTGAAATTTTGGAACCGGAGCAGGTTTTCCAAAGTGCCTGAATCACGGACGTTGAGCACTACACGGGACCTGCAGAACCAGCTTGTGTAACTTTTCATCCTTCTGCAATCAAGGAAGCCAAAACGCAGACGTTACAGCTTTAATGCCACCGAGCCTGTCAGTGATAAAATCGCCCTGGAAAGCAGATGCTCCAGCTCCAAGTTCAGAGTTTTTAATTAACTGACTTGGCCTTCAGACCCATCGTAGCCCCTGGCCTTTAGATCTGTCAACATGAGTCTGTGGCACTGCTGTCCATGCCTTTGTCATCTCTCTCGTGGCTGAGATTGCCCTCCTGGCTCCTGGTTGTCTGACTCTGAGACTGAAGAGCAAGGCCCTGTGAGATAGCACAGAACTAAAACTCAACAGTGAGAGCTACACACGGCACTGCTAGATACTACCTTAGCGTTCTTGCACCTCCTGTAACATTGGAGAATGTGGCTTATTGTTAAACAAATACATAATCTTATTGTTACCTGTACCCTTAAGAAGCATGGGCAAAAGAAAACATGTTATGAAATAATTGTTCATTCTTTACTATCAGTTTAAATGTGGGCTCTGAGGAAATATACGTCGCATATGGAAACGTTTGCATTAAGTCCATGATGTTCTCCAATAATTCCTACTTTTAAAGGAAGAAAAAGATGGATTGCAAAATTCGCGTGGCCCTCAGCGCGCATGCTCACTCTGGTTGTTACCGAGCTCGGGACGGTTCTGACAGGTAACAGGACGTACCAGGAGCAGCTGCAGCAACAGCACCAACAGAAGCAGCACGTGTTGTTGGGCCTCTGGTTTCCAGGCGCCTGGGGCACGGCGGGCGTTCCTTCATTTTGCGGCTGCTGCCTTTTTCGCATTTCAGCTGCGTGAGTACTGGATTGGCTGCAAGAAGAGAGAACACGTGTTGTAAGGCATGAACAAAGGTCACAGTAAAGATAAGTCGCCTGTCCTGAAAGGAAGCAAAATTTGACTACAGGGTGGGGGCAGGAAGGTGGTTTAGAAAAGGGGAAAACACACAGGCCTCGGCACAGTCAGATGAAAAATTGTCCAGGACAGCTTTTAGCAGGGTATCCTAAAAACTTTGGGGACAACCTTCGATCATTATCTGCTACATAAAATGTCAGTAGCAAGCTTGTCACATAATCAAGATCAGTTGGCAAGGTAAATATCATGGGTGGAGTTTTATTTTTAACTTCCTCCCTAACTCAAGAAAGACTGCGTCTGCCTCTCTGGAGGAACACCTTCAAGTGGTTAGGGGGGTGTGCCCTTCCCGCTTCCTCCCTGCGGTCTGCAGCGAGGTGAGGTCAACGGAGCTTCAGAAGCCAGCGTGGCGAGGCTGTTAACTGATGCCATTGTGAGGAAGATCAAGAGTGTTTTCGGTGCTCTCTCACCTTTCCGTAAAAATACTCAACCTCCTTTTTCTCCAGGGGCCTAATCTCGATCACATCGGCAAAATGCCTGATTCTCCGAGACACAACCTTGCTGCAAAGGCGTTGTCGCCTCCTTGGCCCCCACCACCCCGACTCATGTAGAGAATCGTGAAAAGAGACAAGAGACCCAGTCCCGGAGAATTACGTTGGTGGAATTTGTATTACATCTCACGGCAGATAGGAACACCGCTGGGATACAGGACGGCCCGCCTGTCATCTTACAGATCGGACCGAGTGAGCTGCTTTCTGTTTGTAAGCCCAAGCCTAAGGACTTGGCTGAGGATGAAAAATAAAGTTTTGTTTTAGTAGAGTAATATCACATTTAGCATGACGTTTCTGAAAAAGGAATGAATTCTGCTGAGTGGTGTTTTTTCAAAAATATGCAATGTATGTAAATCATGTACATGCATGGTCATATGTGTAGCTGAGACCGGTGCATATTAAAAATGTCAAATACGTCAGGTTGTTTTGGCATTGCGAGCTTTAAAAATTAAATTTTTAGTTCTGAATACAATGATAGATACTTTTAAAAAATACCATGTTCTTGAAAACAAGACAAGCATCTCTTTGGACCAGAAACAAACCAGAAAACCACAGCGGTCAGTACATGGAGGCTAACGTCACAGGCACTTTGTAACTCAGGTGTGGGAACGGCAAGGTGCAGAGGTCCCGTACTCCAGCCGGACATACAACGCTCCGCTGCGAGTGGTGGGAGACCAGGCCCAGGCACCTGCGTAAAACCGGGGGCTGTGTGCTTCCGCTGCTCGTGACAGGACGCTGGGAGAACTGTGGGCACCACTCAGTTGCACCCAGCTACAGGAGGGACAGGACTCAGGGAATGCCATCCAGGCCTGACCTCGGCCAAGCAGCCCACAGGTTCAGTGTCGTGGGTCAGAGATGTCAGCACCACTGCTGGCTGGAGGAAACCCTGGGGTGCTCACGGAAGAGCTGCTGTGGGACTGAGGGAATCGAGGGACTGACTACAGGGACCAGTGAAAAGCGGTACATTAGGAAGAGTGAGTGAGAGTGGGAATATACCACTCACTCCACAGGCTGCCTGAAAGCAAAAAATCCAAACAACACTGAAAAACAGAGACCCAACTCAACAACCAGGAAAGGAATACCCTCCTGCTAAAATGCAAAAAAATTGAAAAACAAAAACAAAAACAGAATCATCTAAAATTAGTTTAATAAGCATATTAAACTAATGTAAACAATGTGATAAAAAACTGTGAGAACATTTGTCATATTCATATTAGAGAGCAAGGAGTTACAAAAACAAATACAGGCAAATATGAAACAAGAATAGAGAGAATGAAAAACAGACATGTAAAAACAAAAACACAGCCGTTAAAAAATTCAGATGGAATAATATCTTCCCAAAGAAATCCCAAAGAGAATGAGCGATGGTGCCAAAGAACTGTGCCCAGAATTCAGCAAAAACATAGAAAAATAAAGGAGACAAGTACAACAGTGACATTGAAAGGCTTCAATATACGTCTGATAAGATTTTCATCACAAGGAGAGAATTAACTAACAGATTACCAAAGAAGTATTATTTTCAAGAAGCTGGCTGAGAACTTTCCAGAACTGCAGGTAAACAAAACAAAACAAAGGCTCACATTAAAAGAGCACGTGACATGCTGCACACTATTAATAAAATAAAAATGAAAGTAGATCCACACTTAGATGCATTATAATAAAACCACAGAACTCCGAAGTAGCACGTACTGACAGTCGCCTTCATGGGCAATATTAGAGGCCAGAGACAATGGGTGCAGGACGCACGTTTTCCACGTGCTGAGGGAGAAAAACTGTCACCTACGTTTTTATGTGTAGCTAAACACTAATTCAAGAGTGAAGATGATTTATGACATATAAACTGAATTTATCATGCAAATCCTTGCTGAAATCAACTTCTGCCAAAAGAAAACAAATTCAGCGGGAAGGAGTGGAATATAAGAGATGTTTGAACTGAAATTGATAAAATATACTATACTCAATTTTTGAGCAGCTGAAATACAACTCCATATTTCTCTGTTTAGAAATAGTCTGGAAATAAATCTGACTACATACATTGGGAAAATAAGAGAGTTGCCCTGTCCCTCCACTGACACCGTTTTTGTTTACAATACAACATCCCCAGGTTGTTAAATCCGAATCATTTCTTTTTTTTATTTTAATCATTGTTCAAGTACAGTTTTCTCCCTTTTACTCCCAATCCAGCCCACTCACCCAACCCTCCCCTCTTCCCTCCCATTACCACCCTCCCCCTAGTTTTTGTTCACGTGTCCTTTAAATTTGTTCCTGTAAACACTTCCCATTGTCCCCTGAAATTCCCTCTTCTCTCCCCTGTGGTCACTGTCAGCCTGTCCTCTATTTCAGTGTCTTTGGTTATATTTTGCTTGTTTCTTTGTTTTGCTGTTTAGGTTCCTGTACAAGGTGAGATCATATGGTATTTGTCTTTCACTGCCTGGCTTGTTTCGCTTAGCATAATGCTTTCCAGCTCCATCCATGATGTTGCAAAGGGTAGGAGCTCCTTCTTTCTTTCTTTCTGCTGCATAGAATTCCATTGTGTAAATGTACCATAGTTTTTTTTTTCATTTCATCATAATCGCCTGAGCCTATCAGCATTTGACACAGGGATCATTCTGCCCTCTTTGAATCACTTTCTTCCCTTGCCTTCTGGGGTTACCTGGTTGCTTCCAATCTTACTAGTCACTTCTCAGTCCATTTTGGTAATTCCTTTTTATCTTCTTCACTTCCAAATTTTGGATGGCCACAGTACCCTGTCCTGAGAAATCCATCCTCTGTCATGTGTGTATTTAACTCATTGAGATTTTTACTGGGTCTACCAGTTTTCTGTTCAAAATTCTCAAATTTACAGTCCCATAAAGAGGGTATTTTTCTGAATTTGGGACCCATATATTTAACTACCTCCTTGACATCTCCATTTGGTTTTCTCAACTTGGCATCGCAAACATAATGTGCACTGATCTGACTCTCTTATCCCACCCCTCCCCGCTACCAAAGCAGTTCCTCCCAGTTTTCCCACTTTCTGTAAGTGAAAAGTCTCATCTTTCTAACCATTCAGACCAAAAGAAATTTGGAGTCACCCTCAACTTCTCTGTTTCACTCAGGTCCCCCATCGGCGGAGCAGCAAATCTCTCTTAACTGGCCTCCTCCACGTGTCTTCTACCGCGACCCTTCAACCCTTCCTCTTCGTAGGTCATTCATTCAAGTGAATCTTTTTAAAGAGATGATTTCAGCAAAAGAAAAAAATCTTCTGCCCGGTTTCTTCCCATTTCACTCAAAGTGAAAGCCACGGAGTTTGCCATGTGGTCCTTTGTCACTTGTCTGATGCACGTTCTTTTCTCTCCTCCTTACTCTGTTTAACCAAAGTGGCCTCTCGGTTGCCTCCCCCCTGGAACATCATATGTCAGGGCATTTGCACTTCCCGTTGCACACTCAGGGCTGGACTCCTTTACATCTTCGCTCACAGGTTACATTCTCAGTGAAACCTTCCCTGCTACCTTATTTAAAATTGCAACTCCCTCACTCCATCTCCAGCATGACCTATTGCCTTTTGTGGTTTAATTTGCCTTCATACTACCAATCATCATTGGTTATGCCATAAGTTTTATGCATTTGTGTGTCTAGCCAACTAGAAATTAAGTTCCATGGAGGTAAACATTTTTGCCTATTTTTTCTTCGGAAACATACACACAAAGTAGCTTTATACCAAGTGTCCTGATCTGTATCACAAAAATTTGCAGAAAGATTCAAAAGCTTTCTTGAGAACTAAATACCTTAATTTCCTTACTGTTAAAATATTTAATTTGGAAAAATTCAGAGGGAAATGCCATCTGGGGTATCAGTTTATTCAGGGAATCTCTAGGATGCTTTGGGTTGAAATCACTGTAAAGGTGTCCAAATATCATTTGAAACATTTGCAAAAACTTTCACTGTCTGCTTAGTCTTTTGGCTTTTCCAAAATTGACAATCTCACTACACAACCATCTTGGCCATTAGAAAGATGTAGGTACCAGCTTGTACTTCTTAATCCCTTCAGCTTTCACCCAACCTCCCACCACCCCTCCCACATGGTTTGTTCTCAGAATCATCTCGAAAATTATGTAAGTGTCTAACCACTATGCTGTACACCTCAAATTAATATAAACTAATATTGAATGTCAACTGTAATGGATACATTTTTTAAAAAGATATAGGAACATTCTTTTTCTTCCACAGTAAGAAATATAAAACAATTATTCTTATATTTGTGTTACAATATAACACGATGTTACTCAGCTGCGAGAGAGAAGGAAGTCTTGTCCTTGGTGACAGTACGAATGCACTTGAGGCCATTGGGCTAAGTGAGATAAAGCAGACAGAGGAAGACAAATCCTGTCTAATACCCCCACTTGTGTGGGGGACCGAAAAGAGCAGAAC